CGCCATACATACACAGTCTCACTACAAGGAATTTAGTCTTATTATGAAGAAATAGTAAACACATTTGTACACATACGCAGATACATATATTGATAGGTGACTTAATAAATACATGTACATTTTTACGACATATAGATCAAGTCAACTTGTTTTCTGATGTGATAGAATAACCTGGCACCCCCATGCGTGGCAGCACTATAGGTGGTAACCACCTATAAGTATCCATTAGGACAGCGGTTAGGTGAGTCGAGCTGGGATCTTTCCCAGGTGCGCTAGTGGAACTCTCTGTCCGAAGGCAGAGAGTAACCCGGACGAGGCTATGCCGAAGGGCAGAGTTTCGTCCGGGGAGGTAGACAGACCCGATCCCGTTTATGCGGGGCCTACGGGGATGTTTTGGCCGAGCCTTCGGGCTCTGGAACTCCATTTTAAATTCGATCTCGTGCCACATGTGCTACTAAATAGCGTCGTGTTGAAGTTGCTGTTGTTTGTCGTCCACGTCGTCGCCGAAAGTGCTGGTCCCGTGTTAGTCGATAACTTGCCGTTTACTGTCCGCTGTTACCCGCGATAACATGGATGCCCCGATCGTTGGTCAGTTCGGATGACGGAGAGGAATAGAGTTATTCTTTCATTCTGTCGAAGCGTTCACTTCAGTGATCGATACTTGCGTCGAAAGTGCCAAAGGTCAAGTAATAAAAATAGACATTATTTTCAAATAATTTCTACGCATATGTTTATATCTTAAGTGGGTGCCACAGTTGGAAATGATAACTTACGTATAAATATATAGCTTAATTCCCCATGTATAATGCGCCTTCATCCATAATCCGCAAACTTAAAATTGTGTTGAAATTCTGGGAAAATGCTTCTACTCATGCATAATACGCATCCCTTGTTTTGTAATCAAATCCTATAAATTGTACCTCTCCAATTTTCTTACGGCCAGCGTTTCCTACTCTTATTTTTTTTTAAATGATTAAACATAGAATAATACTATTGTAATTTAGTTTTATGATAATTCTTATTTTATTTTACATTTGTAACTATTGTTAGTTACATATTTATTTTATTTTAGTGACAAATTGTTGTATGTTTGTGGTAAGTAGTCATTTCGCAAATTAGATCTACCTATGAAACGGCAATTTTTTAAAGATTTCTTTTGTAACTGTGCATAATACGCACCCCTGATTTTTCTCTCTATATTCGTCCCTTCAAAAAGTGTGGTTGGTTCTGCACAAAACCTTCACCACCATAATCAATTCATATGTGCTGGTGTCTGGGCTGTCGGTTCCTCACAACTGAGCTGCCCGACCCTCATACGTCGAACACAACGGGAGATTCACCCCCCATATATATATATATATATATATATATATATATATATATATAGATAGATAGATAGATAGATAGATTATTTTATATGCGCAGTGCTTAGTGGAAAGCGTTTAATATCAGAGATAGAGCGAACATATTCAGTTATATCGATATGAGTTTGTGACCCTGGGTTCCACGCTTTTACAATTAGCCGACAAACTGAGATGAGAGTGCCATCGTAAAAGACACGGAAGTAAATTTCCCCTTCCACCACCAAAGATAGTCACACAAGCATAAATAGATCCAATTTTAAAAAAACAAACCAGTTTCATGATCACAAAAGCGTGAAATCCAAGATTACAAACTCATATCCATACAACTATATATATATATATATATATATATATATATATATATATATATATATATATATTGTTGCGGACCAGGTAGCATGCATTGCTGGTTTAATTTAAAGTGGGCCTTGTGCCAAACACTACTTATGACTACTGAATCCACAAACAAAGTAAAAATATTGAGTGAGTGATCTTTAGTGAGGAAAACGGGTCATTTAACAAGTGCATAAAAATAATACAAGTAGATAGCCAGGATTAAACGACAAAATGAGTCTGGTAAAAGAACAAATATAGACTTTTATTTTTTTTAAACCAGTAAATTGTCTCGACAGTGGAGACCATCAGTAAAGTTACTGGATCTTTTCAAATAATGAAAAGGTTGTGTCAAGTGGTCACTGAATGAATGACAGTGTTCCGCGCCAAAACAGAAAACCAAGATGGCTAAGGCGGGAAAAGTTCTTCAGGAAGAAAGTTCTGGAAAAATGTCTTGTTGAACGAAAGGTGTAAGCATACACAACAAGGAAAAATACTCACTGCGAGGTTTAATAATGTGTGTGTAATGCTATCTTTAATGTACTGGTTCGTAAGGATTAGATGTTTCAAAGGTGTATGAACAGTTTAACAATCTTCTTCAGTGAAGGAAAATTCAGAGTTGTTCGCATCAAGACGAGGAAATTAGTCTTGGAAAGGTGTGAGGGCGACCGTGTTGTAGAACTCTGGTAGTGAATAGAGGAAAGTTCGAAAGCTGTTCGCATCAAGACGAGAAGTTGGTCTTGGAAAAATATATTGACGACGGTGTCGTAGAACTCTACATTTTCTAGCTGAAAACGGAGAAAAGCTCAACATGCTGTTTGCATCAAGACGAGGATGAGTCTTGGAAAAATGTGATATCGACATGTTGAAGTTTTGGTTAGTTAAGAATAAGATATTCCAGCCCGCGTATGGGTTAGGGGCACGGAATAAATGAGTTGACCTGCTAACTTGAAAATCGGGCCCCAACTAAATTGAAAACGTCAGGCAACGCGCGGGAAAAAATTCAAATTCTGATTTTAGATGGTATCAGGAGTAGCTAGCTAGCCAGCCAGCCTTCCTCACGTCGGCAAAAAAGAGGCTGTTTACTGCTATGTCTAGCTGAATGTGAGAGGAAGGGGTGCAATCCGCGCGCGCACACACACGCAAAAGGGTGGAATCCACGATTCCGCAATATATATATATATCATTTAAAAATTAGGGGATCAGTTGAATCCTTACGATATCCTCAGGCGATTTTTATCAATTGACCTCCCAACACATTATTTTGTTTAAAAAACTAATGAACGTTATATTATTTTAAAAAATAAATAAATAAACGTTGGTTTGATAAAAAGCGAGGAGGACGATGTGAAGAAGAAGAAGAAGAAGAAGAAGAAGAAGGAGGAGGAGGAGGAGGAGTAGGAGGAAGAAAAAGATGAAGGGAAAGAAGTGTCGGGGGGTAATTGAAATGTTAATTTTTTATCCAGCCTCATATGTATGCAAGGAATCATGACTTCGGATTTCTGGTTCAAAAGGTTCTTTAGATCCGGTAATGTCATCATTGCTAAGTTTTCCTGTTGGCAGAGGTTGCAAATATTATTGTTGTTCTTATAAGGCTTCTCCTTTTATAAAATTTTCCAACTTACAATTGGTTCTCTGTTGTTTTTTCTATTAAAATTCCATACATCGTTAGCTAGTTTGTTTGGTCTTATCAAACTCACTGATCGCCTAATTTTTAAAGTTAAAACCTCTACACGTTCTTTCAATATGTTTTATCACACGTGTATTGAGCACTTTTTAATACTACTCTTTCCTTGTCTGATTCAAATCTGGCCGTTAACCTTTTATATATATAAACCATAATTCCCCATGTATTATACGCATTCTTTTCTGTGGTGAGATTCGAACCCGGTTCTCATGGTCAGAACGTTCTAACCCCGCGGCCATATATATACAGTGGTGGCACCCGATTCATAAATTATTCAAGCTTAGCGAACCGGTTATATTATCCGAAAATAATCTTATATATAAACTAGCAGCATGGCTCGGCGTTGCCCGTGCTTGATTCAAAAATCGTACGACTCATACAGCAATCGCTATCACTTGACTTAAAATATTTTTGCCCTTCCTTGCCTTTAAAGGAGTGCCCTTTGCCGTGCTGATGTTGCTACATGCCTTACTTCTAGCCTATCTCACACTGCGAATTTTTTCTAAACTCTATACTAAACATTAAATCTGTTACGAAAAAAGAACGAAACAAAATGAACACAAAACGATCAGCTTTAAAAAAGGACTCGTAACTGAGAAAACCGAATGAAAAAAAGAATGTTAACAACAAATACTTTTTCACACCCAACCCAGTTCTGCGGAATCAGAATCAACGTTGAGTTTAAGCAAGCGAATGAGCCAATTGGAGTAAAGTGCCATGCAGATTTAAATTTTCCCCTCTTGTGATGAATGTAGCTATCGATTTTTTTTCATGCTAGCATGCTAGTTAACATTCATGTCAGTCAGCTGTTGGCTCTCACACTGGCCAATAGAATCTTCCTGCCTATTCGTGGCAGTCAGCTATAGGCTCTCACTCTGGCCAGTCGAAAGTAGTCGCAAACTACATGAAAACTGTCTTGGCCTTCCCGCTAAGTTGGAACATGTGCATGTAAATTTTGGTGCAAATCTGTCGAAAATTGCGGCCGTGCATTCGTTACACACACACACACGAACATCCTGCCTTTTATAGATAGAGATAGCCAGGTGGTCTAGGCAAAATGGTAGTAACGCTACTCTTGCACATGCGCCTAGTGAAACTCTAATAGACACATGTCCTCTACCGTTTCGAAGTTAAAAATTTGATAGATCTTCCATTGGATCTTTGGGACAGCAAATATTCAGTTCGAATATGGCCAAGAAACCATAACTCAGCTGATGACACTAGAGTCAAAAAATCATCATACGTCTGAACAGAATTTTAATCTGGAAATATCTTAATAAATAAATGTTTTCTATGATATTATCAAAAGGGTTTAATTCTTTTCCGATACACCAAAGGGATTTGGTTCCATTCTCTGTTTAAATATATATATGTTGAGGAATCGGAGAGCCGAGTTCGAATTCCAGTCGAATTCATAACATTTACTTACGTGAAATACCCTTGGGAAACGTATTAATTAATCCTCTTCTTCTCCCTCCATCTATGGGTAAATAGCAGGACAGGTAGGGTTCTATACCTTTGGATGACAATTGGTCTAGGAATAAAACTACTTTGAATTCAAAATCTGCGAAGGGTTGTTTGGGGACCTTGTGGCAGAAACGAGATGTTATTCTGACGGGCCGATGAGGGCGGTGTCATGGACAGAAGAAGCGGGAAGTCTTCGCGACACGTCGTCGGCAATCATTGCGAAGTACGGGTCGACAGAGGCCCGACTCCACGGTCTATAAACGAGATACTGTCAATCCGTTTCTGTGCTGGCAGTATCACGGCTATGACGAGCTCTAACGAGCTCTGACGAGTCTGGACAAGCTATGACCAGCTAAGACCAGCTTGGATCAGCGGCCCTAAACACTCGGGTCTCCACGTTAAAAAAAATGACCTTGTGTCACAACGTGACTTAGTTGTGGTGGGGGGGTCAAGTAAATCTCTACTAATGCCTGGCAAACAATCGTGGGACATCCCGTTTTCCACCGCGTGAGAGAGCGAAGACGCGGGCATACTGAGAGATATTCGGTGTACCGATTACGGTTCAGTTTCAGAAATTTCCGGCCGAAACGACCTTCGACAAATGATGGAATCGCGCACGAAGACCACGCATACGAACTCCCCACTTGATTCCTGATGGCAACATAAACGGTTCAAGTCCTTTTCGAGCACCGAATCGCAAGGGAAGCACTTTCGACGCAAGTATCGATTACTGAAGTGAACGCTTCGACAGAATGAGAGAATAACTCTATTCCTCTGCGTCATCCGAACTGACCAACGATCGGGGCATCCATGTTATCGACAGTAACTGCGGACAGTAAACGGCAAGTTATCGACTAACACGGGACCAGCACTTTCTGCGACGACGTGGACGACAAACAACAGCAACTTCAACACGACGCTATTTATTAACTGCCCCGCGCAGTCACATGTGGCACAAGGTCGAATTTAAAGTCGGGTTCCCGAGCCCAGAGGCTTCGCCAAAAAATCCCCGTAGACCCCGCATGAACGGGATCGGGTCTGTCTACCTCCCCGGACGAAACTCTGCCCTTCGTCATAGCCTTGTTCGGGTTCGTCTGTGGCCGAAGGCAGAGTGTTCGACTAGCGCAGCTGGGAAAGATCCTAGCTCAACTCTGCAACTTCCACACGACCGGTCGGCAGCGGCAGGTACGACCAAGATATACAAAATATGGCCGCACAATGGGATTGGGGCGCTATTCTGGATTTTACTACTAATTATGAGGAATAACTGTGAGTAAAGAAAAATAAGCGTTTTCATTCCGTTTTCATTTTCAGTCACCTATCAATATTTTAACTAGCGGTCTTTAGCTGAAGTTCCTAGTCAGACAATTCGGGTAGGCTATGGTATTAATATATAGATATTTCGAATCGCTATCACTTTATAGAATAAAAGCAGCCATTTATTCAAGTCGCGCACTCTACATTTTAAATGACACACTGCCTCCTCTGTGACCTGGAGGCCAAGAAATTGTTTGCTTCGGATAATGGTAACAGAATAAATAAAAACATTGGAAGTAAATTTTTATAAGCTGTAGCAAGCAAAGAGTTGAACGATAACACGCACGCACACACACACACACACACACACATATATATATATATATATATATATATATATATATATATTATAAAAGGGTTAAACAAATATATATGGGGTTAAAAAAGAAAAGAAAAAACGACATCAGAAGCCAATAAATCTCTTTTGGATTAATCTGGATGATTTGAGAATGCCAGTAACCTCCCCCCCCCCAACTGGGGTAGATTGTTTTCTTTTTCCTACTTTTAATCTTAAATTGTTACGTATCGACTCCGGGCACTTTACGTGTTCTTGCGATAATATCAACACTAATTTTGTTAGTCTTCTGGGAACGCAACCTTTATCTGTTTACGAGACGTAAACAAAGAAGGAATATTATTTATTACAACCCCACCACCTCCACTATCTTCTTCTCCTTTTTCCCTTCCTTTTTCCTATTTTTTTTTCATTTTCTGATCTCATTCTCTCATTCCTCGAATCCGCCATTGTAGTACATTTCTTTTCTCTTATCTTTCTCTATGCAATATCTAATTCTTCTTCCCACAATGTCACTATATAGGCAACCGTTTCTTCTTCTTCTTCTTCTTCTTCTTCTTCTTCTACTTATGCTTCTTCTTCTTCTTCTTCTTCTCTATATGTCTTTCTTGCTTTTCAGTATCTGAATTCAATCTTTTATTCCTGGTGTAATTCTTTTCCTATTCGCTTTCTCTAGACAGCCGTCTTTTTCTTTTCTTCTCTTCTTCTTCCCTGTCTTCTTTCTCTTCTTCTTCTTCTTCTTCTTCTTCTTCTTCTTCTTCTTCTTCTTCTTCTTCTATGTTTTTTTCTTTTATTATCTGAATTCATTCTTTTATTCCTAGCATAATACTTTTGATATTCTCTCTCCCTATCTCTCTCTCTTTAGACAGCCGCCGCCACCTATTCTTCTTCTTCTTTTTCTTTTCTTCTCTTTCTTCTTCATCTCTTGTGGTTGCTGTTGTTGTTGTTGTTATTGTTGTTGTTCTTGTTCTTGTTCTTCTTTTTCTTTTCTCCTCTTTCTTCTTCTTCTTCTTCTTCTCTTGCTTCTTCTTCTTCCTTCTCCTCTTCTTTTCTTCTTCTTGTCTTGCTTCTTCTTTTTCTTCTTCTTCTTCTTCGTCTCTTGCTTCTTCCTCTTCTTCTTTTCTTCTTCTCTTGCTTCTTCTTCTCTTCGTCCTCCTCCTCCTCCTTCTTCTTCTTCTTCCATTCATAATTTCCTTTCTTTTATGCCTCTCACTTTATCCAGTATTTCTTCTTCTTCTTCTTCTTTGTCTTTCTTTCCTTTTTTCCCTTTTACTTCCTGACATTCTCTTATAGCATCATCATCATATTCTTATTCTTTTTTCTTTCTTTCTTTCTTCCTTTTTCTTTCTTTCTTTCTTTCTTTCTTACTCCAGCCTTTATTGCATTTATTTGTTGTTAAATCATTTCTCCTTTCATTCCCCTCACCCGATGTTCCGACTTCTTTTCCTGCATCGATTTTCCTTTTCCTCCTCTTCATTTAAATTGTTACAACATAATTTCGCGCGATAATCTAAGGGAGTTTCTCAATTATTCTTAAGTAGATGTCTCCATGTACATACGATAAAATCTCCAAATATCAGCGAGTTTTTTAAACTATGAATGCCGAACGTAAAACCCGATATTAATTCTCTAAAACTTAAAAGAAGAATCCGTTCATCTTATTTTGTTTTCTTAAATCATTTCACCGTAAGAAAGGCGACAATGGCACTAAGACGCAAGGGATTTACTAGCAGTGAAAGCAAATGACAAAACTTTAGTGAGGAGAAAGGAAAATAAAAAAAACAGGTTTCAGAAAGACATAATATGGCGACTGACTTCACATTTCAATTTTAAAGATCGTAGGAGACAGTTAAGCAAGAAACCGGAAGAAAGTCCAACATGCGAGAAGTGAAAGAAAAAAAAACTATTGCAATAGACCAATAATTTCTAAACGTTTTTAAGCAACGGCACGCTTAGGAACAAATGAAAATATCACAGAACACTTAGTAAAATTTTTTAAAAGGTATGCATTTAAATATGAAATAAAACCATTAATTTTGAATTAAACAGAGGATTTTGAATACAATTATATGAAAAAAACGCTAATATTTTGTTGCAGTTTTTTTGTGCATATATGTTTACTAGTGAGCTAGCCCAAATGACTTGACTTACTTTATAGTCCACCAATAGAAGGTTAACCAATCAGAAGACGTAAAGTATGTTACGGTTTTTTGGGTATATACCACATATAACTAGTGAGCGAGTCAGAATGACTTATTTTCCTTTATAGTCGACCAATAGAAGGTTGACCAATTGGAAGCCGCACAACACGGTATTCGTCGTGTATAAAGGCGGCCATCTTGTTTCCTCTACCGGAAGGACCAAAGGCGACCAGGAGAAGGATGAACTACACTCCGCTGTGATATCCACTGCGAACCTAAAGTACTGTCTCCGAAATATTCACTGCCAACCTCTGGATTCTATACTCGAGGACCACCGTCATGAAAATGTATAACAAAGTATTCAATCCCTCGTGTATAAAGGCGGCCATTTTGTTTACTCTATCCGAATGTCAGGCAAAGAGGAACAGAAGGAAGAACTACGCTCTGCTACTTTACCGGGATATCCACTGCTAACCTGAACTACGCTTCCCTACACTCTTCGAAATATTCACTGCTAACCTCTGGATTCTATACTCAAAGACGACCGTCATCATGAACAACATATTTGATTACTCAAATAAAGGAAGATTCTGAAATGTTAAATTAAAAAACAATAAATAAAAAACGTTTTTAAATCAAATTAATAAAAAAATATTTTTAAAACACTAGCAGACTTCACCCGCTCGCTATCGCTTCGCAGAGAAATATTCACTACTTGAAATCCTTAAAACAAAAATTTTAAATAAGCATTTCATTCATAAATTGGTTGTAAACAGGAAAGAAAACACTTGTATTTATTCAGATAGCTAAACATTAGAACTTTTAAACAAGCCATTTTTAAACAAATGAAACATAGCAAAACTGAATAACATTTATCGGGTGTTAACAGAAATAAAATGCATATATTTGCATGAATGAAAAAACATAACTCGGTCATTTTTCTAGAAATAAATTAGTTGTTTTCTATAGGATTAATGTTTATTATTTCTGAAATGTTGAAGGGGCTGTGGACGTTGAATATATTTGTTCAAAGAATATCACTGTAAACACAGAAGCAATTAATTAGTCAGATGTGTCAGGATTGTTATAGATAAGGAAAGTTTTACAAATAGATGCCAACTTATTAAAAGCCAACTAAAATGCAAATTTCGAACATTTTGCTGCACGGTATAAGACAATATTCCTAAACAGAACTATTTTTTTTTATGTGAACCTGAATAACATTTATCAGGTGTTGACAGAAATAAAATACATTTATTTGCATGAATGAAAACATAATAGTGGAAAAATTGAAATCAAAATGAATCTTTTTCTTAAATGATTTTTACTGTAATGCAGCAAAATAAACTACATTTTTGTCTTTTTATTTGGTGCAAGAATAAATAAATTCCTTCCATTTCCAAATTCTTGAACAGGCAACATATAACTGACCATGAGAAAAGCAGGGTTGCATAAGGTGAAGTCCAGTAACATTCATTGATTGACCTTGTGATTTATTAAGTTATTACAAAACTTACTCTGACTGGGAATTACAATTGTTTAAAATCAAAAGAACTTCTGTAAAAAAAAAAAAAAGCAGCTAATTATAGATTCCTCGATATATAAACTGATAAATGTTTACCTTAAAAAAATAACCTGTTAATTTTTCTAGGAATAATTAGTTGTTTTTCTATGGGATTCATGTTGTGACGTCGTCCCCCGGTCGCAGCGTCGACTGTGTCGTTCGATCCCGGTCGCGGCGCCAGTTGTGACGTCACGTGCTCCCCAGGCTCTGATATCCTGGTCACGGACAGCACCAACTGTGACGTCTTTGCCGCGGCGTCGGCTGTTCGCTCCTCGCTGCTCCAAACGTGACGTTCTAACCCTTTGGTTAGATTGATACCAGCCTCGTCGTTCCCAACCCGCTTCCAACGCCTGGTTACCAGGGTAACTGCACTGATCTCCAGTCTGCCTACCCACGTTGTGAATTGATCTTAGACAGACGAGATCAAACAGGGGTTGGGGCCGTAATGCGAGTTGAGTCTAACGGGGGTGATAACACACAATTATGTATAAAAGAAAAGAAAATAAAAACTCACAAGGTCCAACGTATCAAGAAAAAGTAACAAACTTTTTATGTCTAATTGCTCGGTACATAGGACTATGTCTACTTCCCGACCCGTTCTGTGGATTGTGGCACGACGCTTTTACTAGGCAACTTTAAGGCTTCCAGTTGTCTGCTCTCTAAGAAATTTGTGTTTCGGTGTGTCTTTGGACGAAAGTAAAAAAAAAAAACTTATTTCTGTGGTCTGATTCTAAGTCGCTCTTCAAACTACTTGTTCTTGGTTGAAGAAGAGTCCAGAAGTGTGCGTGAATATTGGTCAGCTATCTTGACGCGGTTTCAACACTGGGCGCTCATCTCTGCTTGTCGTCCACGGCTGAACTCTTTCGCCGTCCGCGGCTCAACTCAAACTTCTTCTCTTCAGAGTCTGAATTACTGGTCACTCATCTCCGCCGTCGGTGCGCGAACTAACTTCTTCTCTTCAGAGTCTGAATTACTGGTCACTCATCTCCGCCGTCGGTGCGCGAACTAACTTCTTCTCTTCGGCTTGGGTCGGACGAACTTCTTCACTTAGGCCAAACGAACTGGCCTCTCTTGCCCGCAAAGGGGCGAACGAACCTGGCCCGCCGTCCTCGGCTCAAACTCAAAAACTGATTTCTGTCGGTTGGGGTCCCCCTTTTATTGACGCAGTCAAAACTGGGGTGGGTCTGTCGGCGCCAGGGGTTTTTCGATAATTCTAAATACGTATCCACCCTTCTTATTTCTGGTTAGGGATTTTCCATTTTCGGTAACTCACTCTCACTCCCACTTCCTTACTGTGCCTCTGAGGGGCGTATACCCGCTTCCCCGCATCTTCGTATCGGCTCCTTACACTTCCACTTCTGACAAGGGCGTCGACCGATTCTCCTCGTGCGTCACGTGACCGCTCTCGGCCAATGAGGTCCTGGTCGGGTATCTTTCCTCCTCCTTCGTGTGTCATGTGACCGCTTTCGGCCAATGAGGTCCTGGTCGGGTATCTTTCCTCCTCCTTCGTGTGTCATGTGATCTTATTTAGCCAATGACGTCTTTAGTCGGGTGTGGACAATCCGTGGCTTTGTTTTGGGGAAAGAAACACCTTGCTTAAAAAAACAAAAATATTAATTTAACTCGCCCTTATCATGAGCGACTGCGATGACACCTTCAGCTGTTTAACACGTGGTATTTGTCAAACAGTTTATCGCTAATTGGATATGACCTAAGAAAGGGATTTCTCAGACCTGTTGGCGTTTTTGAACGAAATAAAAATATTTCATTTTCCTCCGCCCGAAGGTCCGATAATAAAAATCTTTATTATCTCAAAAAAAAAAAAATTTCAGCGACATCATCTTTTGTGGCTTTTTCCAATTTTGGAGACTGTCTGGGTTTTCGTATTAATGGTTTGCCTTCATATCCTTAGATACACTTCCCCACCCACTTAGACCTTTACTATCACTGCAATGACACAATTTCCACTTGTTACTTATCAATATTTTCATTGTCCCTAAACTTCGGTTCTTCTTTTTCCTCTTGTGTGACAACCAATTGATAACAACTTCCATTTTTCGTGGATTCCGCGGAAATGGGTTAGATGCTTGACCCGGATATTTTTCGACACCTGTTATCTGTCAGCCGTTCGTGTGTGTGCTCGCCTATGACCTGTTTTCGTATTATTTTTTCTTTCTTTCTTCTTCGTTTTCTCTTTCCTTCTTCCAGATCGCTTGAATGTAAAGAAGGAATTATTCTTAAAACCCAAAATATTTTTCGGCCCTAAATAATTATTAAATGGTTGATAAACCGTAAAAAAAAACAAATCATATATCTATGAATATTTCTTTCAAATCGTCAGGATGCATGGTGCCACAATGTTCACTATTTATGAAATGCTGAAGGAGTTTTGGACGTTCAATATATTTCTTCAATATTTTGCGGGAGCTCAGGGAATTTTTGTTCCTAGCCCGGGTGTATGCCCTCGGGCTCTCCACATTAAACCTGCCTTGGGTCACAACGCAATTTAGTGGGGTCAGGGGTTCGAATAAATACCAAATTACTATAAAATAGTAAGTAACACGTTTATTAATCATCTCTCAAATGCGTTTCTGCATTCAGGGGTGTCTCTGTCAAATCCTTGGGGAACAGCTGTCCGAGGCCGTGATCTCTCATTGCCCCAGAGAGACAGATTGGTGCTTGAAGCGAGGCCAGCACAACTGACAGTTGGTGGGCTCGGGAATTTTTGTTCCTAGCCCGGGTGTAAGCGCTCGGTCTCCTCACATTAAACAGATCT